TGGGTCAAAGGGTGACGCTGATGTCCTCCTCAACATCTCGTCTGCTGCTGCTCGATGCTTTCGGCACGCTCTTGAAGCCGAGGATTGACCCCTGGTTGCAGTACGTGAGTCGCTCGTCACGCGTCCTCCATGCGTCTGATTCAAATTACTCACGGACCGTACAGCCTCGACCGATGTTGCCTGAAAGGCAGAGGAGGCGCATCTTTTGGGCATCCATACGCGCTCCGATCGCCTTCAAGTTGCTTTCCAAAAGTGTGAGGTGCGATTCCAAGGTCTGATAGCTTTCGTCGCTCATTATCTTTGGCTGGTCGCACAGCTTTCAAGAGGATGGCTATGAGGGCGCCAAATTATGGCTTTCCAAGAGCGGACCCTACTCTATGGTGGACACATCTGATCAGCGACATGTTCAGTCAGTCAGATCTCTACGAGGACAACAAGCATCATCTTCCAAAGGCGAAAGAGCTGGAACAAACACTAGCTCCAAGAATACTGCAGCGTTTCTCTTCGGCAAAGGCATACACACTGTTCGATGACACTTTGCCCTTTTTGCTCGCGCTGCGAAGCCTGAAAGAAGAGTTGCCAGAGCGACATCGACTTGCAGTCTGTATAGCTAGCGATAGCGATAGCAGGATCATCAGCGCGCTCGGCGAGCTGCTCGATCAGGCGAGTACGTATGGGCGCATGACGGACTTGAGACCGCTGCTGGGCATTCACTCGAGCTCGTCCAAGGGGAGCCCCGTTTGCAGCCTTGCTTCGGTCAGACCAATATTTGGACACGAAATAGGCTACGCCAAACCGGACGCGCGCTTCTTTTGGACAGCTCGAAATTTGGCTTGGCCTGTTGTTGCAACAACGCACCAAGAACAACGCAGCTCAGATGCAAAGGCGGACACTGCAAGAGATGGAAGAACGGTGTACGTTGGTGACTCGCACGAGCTGGACTACATCGGTGCACGAGAAGCTGGACTAGATGCTCTGTGGATTGGCAGAAGTGCTCTTGCGCCTAATGACTACGCTGCTACTCGCGCGCAACGCCGCATCGAAAGCCTCGTGGACGTGGTCAACGTCTTGCGAGCGTCTTACGAGAAGGAAGGCGTGATCATGCGAAGCTAGAGAGCGTCTTCATCCGAAACTAGCGCACCCGAGACTCAGCACCTACGTCTTGCGTCCCTGAACGCTCACCAAGATCTCTCTGTCTCTCTCGATGCTCTTTGCATTGTAATTGCCCATCCATGCCTATGCATCACGGCAAAGGCGCTTTACCAAGAGCACTAATGGTGAAGTGCGCAGTACCGAGGAACACAAAGCCTCCCCCGCTGATCCACAGCGTTCTGGGCACAACTCCGGCAAAGAGGGCAGCTAGGCCCTCTGTCCGTGCCACGTGTAGCAAGGTGGGTATGATACGCGAGTTGACTCCGGAAGCTTTGAGAGCTGGAGCGGAGGATTTTGCGGGCTCCGTCGCCTGTGTTGTCGATCGCTACTCGAGCACGAGCAGGGATGTAGATGAAGGGATCAGCGCTCTGGTCTGCCCATGCGTGATCAAGATACAAGCCTCACACGCACCCTTTCGAGCATGATCCGAGTCTTGACAACGTCTAGCGGCGTGGTGCTAGCAGCTGCGATTCCTCCCGCTGCAGATCCAGCAAGGCCAGCTTGCCAGGTAGGAAGGTCTGCAGCCGAGGTTGGGATCGCAAGAGTGGCATGGCTTTCAGATACAGAGCTGTCCCGCTGGCCTGAGCGCAACGCATTTGACCGGGCTATCCGTTGCTTCAACGCTTCGTACAAGGGAAATTGAATGCACGTGAAGGGAATCTGGTCGGAAATCAGAGAAACGTGTCTGAGCGGTACACTGGGCCATTGCGTATCTCTATCTCCGAAGAGCTTCACGTTGTAAATGCTTGAACTCACTTCTCGCCCTACGGTACCGGCAAAGCCTCTGTACAGACCGCGCAAGCCGCTCTCTGCAATCACCGCTCGCAGAGCATTGGCGCTCGATGCAGAAGCTCCATACGAGGACGTCTGCTGCCGAGACTTGATCACTTCTGTAGGAACGCGTATCAAGCATGCTGCCTGGTTCGGCCAGACGAGCGGCGAGTCAGGGAATCGTGATCAATGTGGACCAAAGGCGCATGTATGCACTCACCACCTCTCCCAAACTTCCCGCCAGCATGTGCGATGAAGCACCTTCTCCGAACAGCGGGGCCAGCGCCGGCTTGAGCGATTCGTAGGCGACAAAGAAGAGCGCAGCTGGAGGTCGGATCGATGGCAGCGGCAATGGCAAGCCCGTGATTTTGACTCAGCACCTCTTTTCATCGACCAACTCCATCTCGGCTTTCTTGAAGCTGGTCTGATACAGAGGAGATCGCTCTCGTCCGGCTCTCCTCTTACAAACAGTACCGCAGAGCAGCAGCGCTCGCATGACACTCACCTCCCGGAGCGCTTCCCACAGCTACGCTGCCGATTCCTCTGTACACTCCCTTGAATCCTCCAGCTTGCAGGAAGCCACCTTTCGCTTGCAAGCGCGTCTTTATGGTATCGATGGGATAGAAGAGCAGGTCGACAGACAGACCCGCTAATGCCCCACCCTTGCCGCACACGCAGATAGGAACGAATGACCATTTGCGGTTCGATACGATGCGCAATTTGAGGAGCGAGGAATGAGCTTTGCCGCGAGACTGCTGCGCTTCTGTGCGTCCTTGACCTTCACTCACAGCCAAGGAAGCGACAAAAGGAGGAGCTTGAGTTGGTGTGCCCTTGACGAAGGAAGCGATCTTGGCCTCGGAGCGGGCTGCCAGAGGCGAACTGGGCCCAGCGTCAGCCATACCTGCTGCAGTGCGCTGGCTTGGAAGCTCAGCAAATGTGATGCGCTGCTTGTTCAAGGATTTACAACGCTTTTGATGCTACCTCGTAGGCCGGGACTCGGCGTGGAGGAAAGCGTGAGGAGGGTCCAGAACGAGATGGAACTCGACAAATGGCGGCGCCAAGCAGAGATTTGGAGTCCCGTCGTCTGCAGAGACTTTAACGCGTGCAAGCCGGATGTCAGTGTCGCGACAAAGGTGGACGTAGGACGCCAAACAGCAAAAGGAAAGGATCAGATTGCCAGCATCACCACCACCTCCCTGCCCACAGTAATCAGAATCGCGAAGATCAAGAATCACGAATCACGAATCAAGGCCGACAAATCCGAAGAGCTGTTTTGACGTCTGTGCGCGGCTCGTTGCGCGATCACGTGTGTTGGCCGTTGGCGGTTATCCTAGCCCGACGCGCGACATGCTGCAATGCGAGGCGCAAGCTAGCGCGATGCGTCTTTGGCTGCGAGGTCACGCAGGACAAGCCACGCTGACTTTCGAGGTTGCTCGAGCGCCTGATCTTGGTCTCATCATCCACTCAAGACTACATTCATCGTGCTCCACACCAAGCGCTTGATGGCGGCACATCGAATGACTTTGTAGGAAAAGCGTGAGTGCTCATTTATTGCTTGGTCTTTCATCAGGCACCCGCCGCCTCTAGGATCGGAGGTACGTTGCGTGTTGAACCGACACGAAGGACGGGCAAGCCAGAGAGCACGAGGCGGCCAACGCCATGGCGAACACTACGCTGTACACTTTGGGTGAGTGGTTTAAACAACATCATATGCTGCCCTTGGGCCAGTCGGGCATGACCTGACCCGCTGATTCGTTGTCTCAGCTGTTGCCATATTTGCGCCTTACGCATTGCGTCATGGCCTCACATGGCTTGCTAGGTATCGAAATCGACGGGCATCTGTTCCAAATGTGGAGACGAGTGCAGTGGGCAAACCACAAATCTTGGATCGATCTTCTCCCAGCGACTGGATGATCCTGGCCATCACCAGCTTGACCATCCTCATCTCGCTCAACAACCTGTTGCACATCCCGTGGGACCTCATCGCCTTGGCTAGAGCGGATGCATACGACCCGTCAGTCACAATCAGGGCGAACACGATGGGAAAGAGCTTGAGCGAGCTTAGATGGCCTTATGGGGAGGCGGCCTTGGATGCCATGTACGGCAAGCTGGGACAGTACGAGAGCAGAGTGAGTATGGCAAAGAAGACTCGTCCAGCAAACAAGCCTACATCTCGCTCACAATCAGCCCGCATACACGCCCGTCCGCAGCGCT